TCGATATCTCTGATCCTTTCCTCCATTTGGTCGATTCTATTTCCCAAGCTTGCTATTTTGTTTTTCAACTTGCAGTATGTTCTTTATCTCCAGAAGTTCTATTTGGTTCCTTGAGGCTTTCACTTTCCTTGCTCTGCTCATCCAGTTGTCTTTTCAATTTATGAACTTGTGGATTTGAGTTGTTTTGGATCTCATTGAGGTTTTTTCAGAAGTACCACCCTGAATTCTCCATCATTTAAGTCACATATTTCTATGTCTATAAGCTTATTCTCTGGAGATTTTTCTCTTTCTTTCTGAGATGCCTTGTACCTTGGTTGTTCACGGTGTTTAATGGACTGTTTCTCTGCCTGGGCATTAATGGAAGTGCATTCTGTTGTTTTTCCAGAAAGAAGATTTATTATATAAAAGTCTCTCTTTAACCTGCTGCAAAGAAGGCACTTTTTTTTTTTTCTTTTTCTTTTTTTGGTTTCCAGTAGGTGGCATCTAAGCCTCTTGGATCCCTGCTTTACATAAAGCCTAAATGTCCTTTTTATTTTCTTGCAGATATTTAATCACACGTGCTACTCTCAGTTTCAGTCCCTGTAAGTGTTAGCAACAGTTTCGGCAGCATTTGCTCAGATTCCCCTGGAGCGCCTCTGTGATCCATCTCTTAGGGTATGGGGGAGGGGCGCTCTGGGTTGGGAGTTGGGGGCTGTGGCTCAACCTCGGTTTCACAGCCGTAGCCAGTAAAAATCAACTGTTGTTTCTCTGCAGTCCCGTCCCGCTTCTCTGCTTTCTGCCCTGATGACTGGGCCCTGGTGCCAGCTGCTAGAAATTCTGGCACTTCCATGCAGGCTGATCAGGGAAGTCGTTGCACCTTCTCCTCTCCCCATCCTCCTGCAGGGAGATCTGGTGGTCTCAAGAGGCAGCTTCTTTATTTCTCTGAGTCCACCACCCAACACGCAGGGTTCTGACCTGTGGTAGCTCTTATGCGCAAATCTCTCCCTCAGATGTGCTGGTGTGCAGTTTGAGTGTTTTTTGTCGAGTTTTAGATGTTCAGCTTATTGTTTCAGTGGGAAAGATCTGAGGACGTCTCTTACTCTGCCATGTTTCCTGTAGTTTTTCAAAAAATATTTTTTTTTCCTTTATAGCTACAGCATTAAAAAAAAGAAAGAAACAAAGGCAGCACTGTTGTGCTCTGGCATTTTGCAAATGGCAGACATCTGATAAATGTGCAAAAAGAACTGGGTATTGCAAGCATCCCGGGACTCACATATCCTCGCCATTAAGAAGGGCTGTTTGGATGGAAAAATATCCTCAGTGGTAGTGTTTAGGTCAATTAAAAAGGACAATTTCATTATTAAAATGGTCACCATTGACTGCTATTTAATTCTTGTTGGATGAAAAGGCACCATCTCAGAGGGGGTTTTATGGAAGGTGTAATGTTTATCCTTCCTTCCTTTAATAAATCATCTGTGTTAGTGATATTAGCTGGCAGGAGGTCTGTTAATACTTTAGCCCTGATGTCTTTGTGTGAGAAGCTAAGATTTCATCCGAAGGCCAAGTGGGTCCTCTAGAAAGTTTCTTGGCCATTTCTTTTCCTTTTGCAGATTAGAAATTCTCAGGGTTGTTTATATTCATCTTGGTTAACGATAGATGGTATGAATTCATTAAATGTAATGTTATCTGATTTTTCATTGAGCAAACCCTTGAGCCCTATTGATCTTGGAAAATGTTGATCTTTATAAGTTCTGTCTAGTTTATTTAGGGACCCAGGAAATTCAATTAAACATTTATTAAATACCTACACATGACTAGTATACTGCGAGGTACTGCAAAACTTATACCCACCTTGCTTCGTATAAGGTCTTGCTGAGCATTGAGAACACACACAAAGGTGAGACGCAAATAGTATAAGATATACTATGTTTTACATCAGCTCCAAATTAGAAAGTAGGTCCTGGGAAGGAGATTGTGAGCATCATCTCATGATAGTGTAGCTTAGAGCAGAGAGAATGTTCCAGGAGTCATTTGGCATTGCTGCAGTGATCCTGTTAGGAGGCCTAGCTGCTCAGGCAGCAAGGCAAATATCTTTTAAAGTCGTCAGTCTGTTCCTGATGCTCCAGACATGTAAAAGATATTAAAGGAAGGACATAAGCATTAACAACACAAACACAATTCCAAAACACACAGATATAGCAAGTGATTGAAGAAGGAAAACTCATAGACAGAGATCAGCCTCATGCCTCTGGTTATAAAACAAACCCAGGTAAGCTTTAAAAAAAACAAAAACAAAAAAGAAAACAGTTCCAAAATCAAAGATTCAAGTATAAGGATGTAGAATTACAAGTATCTGAGACATGGGATCCTTCATTCTGTAGCCTTCCATTGGAAAGAAATCCAACATCAACACTACTTAGCAGACATCTAGGCACTTTCTAAAAGTCCAAGCTTTCGGGACTTAGGACACTACCAGGCATCTTTAACTCATTAAGAGTTTGATTTAATTATCCAAATTGAAAATAACATCAATAAAACTCCAAGATAAAAATAGTCACAAGTCAAAGCTAGAGAGGAACATGGACTGTTAGAGTTCATTGCAAATAAGTGGAAACACCAGGAGCCTTCAAGGCAAAGGTTCCTTATGACAAGGGTGCAGTGCCCTTTTTGCCATTTTTCTCCCTGCTGTGTCTGTCTGCACAGAGAACTGTCCTCCTTGAATCCCAGCTCTGTTCCTCTGGCAGGAGCTGAACCTTCCACAGCCTCAGCTGTCAGTGTGTGTTCCAGCCCCTCGCAGGGACCTCCTGCAGAGCTGCCACTATCATCCCTGCTGTTTCCTGAGCACTGCCATCTTTCTCAGAAGAAAATATACTGGCTCCAACCAGTTCCTTTTGCATCTTATTTTAAAAGGAAAACTCTAAGACTTGGGAATGTTTTATTAAGAAGAGAAAAGGAATGCTCTGCACTATTCAAAGAGCCGGAAAAACGTGCATAGGTCTGTTCCTTGAGTCCCTAGCTTACTTTTTCTTGGACTGTATGAATGCTGTTTCTGTGCACATATTGGCTGCCAGGCTGATGACACATTCTAGTTGATATTGCGAAAATTGTCACTATGACGATAGCTTGTGCCTTGAGAGCCACACAGGAACCCAAAACACAGAAATGCTTTCTATGGTCAGCTTGTATTTCACTTTGTGGTCTTGACACACCCTCCTTCCTCCCTGCCTTCCCTCTTTCTTTTCTTCCTTATCTAGTCAAATGATGGTGATCTCTGATGAGAAAAATCATCACACCAAAATAGCAATTTACTATTGCTCTTCCTGGAAAATCCAATCTGGTGTTTGCCTTGTTTTTTTTTGTTTTTTTTGTTTTTTTGTTTTTTTTTCTGAATCACACATTGATATAAAAGTAAAAGTCAGAAGAATGACTCCCTAATAGTGGAAAAGGGAAGAAACTGAATCAGATACTTGAAAGTCATTGCTGTCATCTGATTCTAAAATGTGGGCTTTCATCTTGATTAACTTTTATGTTTATTGGTCCAGTAAGAGCTATTCAGAAATATTATTGATACATAACAACAGAAAATAGTGCCATTTTTATTGGCCAGGGATGATCTAAATTTTCATCAATGTTTTGAAAATCAGTAATGAAATAAATGTAAACAAAATGAATAAATTCTGTTTCAGTATTGATTCCTTTCTTCTGATCGGTCATTCTGTGTATACTTTAAAGCAGTGGTCAGCAGGCTTTTCCTGTAAAGGGCCAGATAGTAAATATTTTAGGCATTACCGGCCATATGGTCTCTGTCTCTGTCTCATTCCACTTCTGTTGTGTGAAAGCAGCCACAGATAATATGTAAACAAATGTACGTGGCTATGTTCAAATAAAACTTTATTTGAAAATCAAATTTCATACAATTTTCACACATCATAAAATATATTTTTTAGCCATCTAAAAATGTAAAGGCCATTTGAAGACCATGCATAAATGGGCGGTAGACCAGATTTGGCTGACCCTGTTCTAAGGCTTTGGTGGAACAGCCAAATGAAACACCTTCAGTTTCACTTCTCAGGCTGTGAGAGAAAGTGATAATGTTCTCTTACCATTAAATACATAAAAATCACCACTGCCTATTGAGCAGGATTTTAAGCTTTACCTAAAATCACATACTCTTAATGAATTGATGAAAATACTGAATGATTGTTCAAAGTGATGAGGAATGCCATGTGCTTTAAGCAAAATAAGACCTCTGTCTTAGTCTGTTCAGGCTGCCGTAATATAATACCACGGGGTGGGGGGGCTTGTAAACAACAAACATTTCTTGCTCACAGTTCTGGAAACTGGAAGTCCAAGATCAGGGTGCTAGCATGGTTGAGTGAGGCCCATCTTCCAGGTCCTCAGACTCCTTGTATCATCACAGTACGGAAGGGGCTAGGGAGCTCTGTGGGGTCTTTTATAATAGCACTAGTCTTATTCTGTGGGATCTCTTTTATAATAGCACTAATCTTATTCATGAGGGCTATACCCTCATGACTTCTCAGCCCCCAAATGCCCCATCTACTAATACTATCACCTTTGGGGATTAGGATTTCAACATATGAATTTTGGTGGATATATACTTTCAGACCATAGCAACCTCTAAAAATGATAGTTCTTTCTTTCTGTTCATTAGGCAGCACTGTATGCTCAGCCCTGGTTAGGGGTACAGAAGTAAACATGTAATCTGCAGTTTCAGCTTTTGGGAACTTTATATTACACTGGTATTTGAGTGATCTTCTGGGATTCGTCAACTAATCTGAAGCCGATTATATCTGCTGTGCGTTGGTCTAGGCTCCAAAGTCACACATGGAGATGTTTGGTATACAAGCTATTCTAAAACCTCTCAATTTCATTCCAGTAGCAGTTCTACTTAAAAGTATCTGTCCATTTTTGGTAGTCCTTGAAAAGAGGTTAAAGCTTTTACTTTTTGAACTTTGTGGTCGAGGTGGTATTTTTACCCACGACATTTTTTTTTCTTTCAGGTGCATGCTCCGAGTCCTGGACTCATTTGGCACTGAGCCAGAGTTTAACCATGCTAACTATGCCCAGTCTAAAGGTCACAAGACCCCCTGGGGAAAATGGAATCTGAACCCACAGCAGTTTTACACCATGTTCCGTGAGTATTTGTGTTTCACCTCTGCTTTCCAGAATGCTACCAAAGATAAATGAGAGAAGAGATTAGATGGCCATGTATTTTTGGTTATGATTCCCAGGGCCCTCACCTATAGAAATGTGTGCTATTGAACCTTGGAAATAACTGAATTTTTTTTAATTGCAGTTGAAAGATCATGTGACAATTTTGTAAATAGCCTTAGAAATGTTTTTGGAGAAAAGCATTCAATGTGAAGTATCACCAGAAACTATTTGAGAGAGGGCTTTGGGTCGACTCTGGATTGGCAGGCACTAAACCCATTTCATACCACACAGATGCTGTTTGGGGTTTTCTTGATTGGTGATGAGGAATGAGGTCTCCCGTGTCCATACACTTTCCAAATAATGAAACCTTAATTTAAGCATCATACTTTTCAAAGCAAAAAGTTAGCCTTTTTTAAACTGAACTTTTAAAAACGCTGTTTTATAATTTTCTGAAATTATCAGATAATTTTAATCCAGAGGTTTCCATCCTAGAATTAATATCTGATATCCGAATCTGTTTCCTTTGTTGAGTTACAACCCACGGGACCCCTGCCCTGCTTTTTCTCCTGTGGTTGCCTCACCCCCTTGTATCCAGCCACTTGAAGGTGACTCTTTTTTTCAGATTCACTAATTGTAACAGCAGACACATTGGACTAATCCCTGGGTGTGAGGTATGAGAAGGGAGAATTTAAGGTTAATTTTAACAATCGGCGTGTGTTTAAATGTTCTTTTTAGCTCAGAGAGATTTGTGAGAGCTTGTTAATATGTTTGGTAAACATCGTTCCTGGAGCTATGTCATCCTGCTATTGCAGCCTGTCCCTGGGGCACAGTTTAGGGGACAAACTAATACATGACATGTTAGGTAACAGATGGCTGGTCAGCAAGGTAAGGCATATGTAATTTTGAGCGGCTGAGATGAGGTCGTACAAAATAACCTAAGACGTGACCTCCGCGTTACATCAAATGAAAAATGTTAGCTGTGTCTAAAATGGCCGGAATTGCCAGAATGTTATATGTGTGTAGGCCCTCGACGAGATGGTGTTTTTCTGTATCTGGGGAGCAGAAATAGAAAGCTTTTCCAGAAAGTTAAAGTTCTCTTTTAGAGTGTTAGAGTTCAGAATCCTATAAAAACTATTTTGTTGTGCATGAATGGAGGATTTTTGCAGTATTGGTTGATTGAATTAAAAGAAATTCACTGCTTACAGCGTAACTGAATATGAAACAGGTTAATTCCTATTAACCTGGGAAATGAGTGAGTGTCCTGACTGACTCAGGATTCCACGGGAATCATGGGGAAGACCAATACATTTGACAGCCCTTTAAAATAAAAAAAAAAAAAAAAAAAAGCCTGTGTGTGACAAATAACGCTATAAGCAAATTTTGTAGCAGAGGGTTAGTGTCACTAATATGTAAAGAGCTAAATTTTTAAAAATGAAAAAAGTTCTACAATCCAATACAAAAATGAGCAAGAGCTACTGCTAGTTCATAGAAAAAAAAAAGAAATTCATTGCCCAAACATTTGAAAACATGTTAACCTCACTCACAATGAAGAGAAATGCATTTCAAACTGCACCAAGATACCATGCCCCACATATCAGATTGACCAGCATCACAAAATTTATTAACATAGCTATTTTAGTGGTGCGGCTCACTAAACAGGTTAAGTTCTCTCCCTTTCTTATATACTGAAAATGTTGGTTCCTACAGTATACCTGCAATAAATATTGTTATTTGAAACCATTTTCCCACCCTAGTAGTGGGAATGTAGCATGGTACTCACTGTGGGAGGGTATGTGTCACCATCTAGCCAAACTACGAATGTATCTTTCCTTTGACCGAGAAGATCATACCTAGGACTCTATCCCAAAGATCTGTGAGCAAAAATAAGAAATGGAGTGTGCCCAAGGCCATTTATTGTGGCACTGTTTGTAATAGGCAAAGACTGGAACTAACCTAAAGTTCCTAAGAGGGCTGAGTGAATCAATCCCAGGGTCCACTGACAGTGAAGTACGGCGTACCTGTGGAAAGCAGTGACCGAGGTCTCCACTGCTCTGGGGGAGATGTCCAGGATATATCGAGTGACAAAAACCAAAGTGCAGAGCAGTGTGTAGAGTTTCTCCCTTATACACAAGAAGGATATGGAGGAGTGTGTGCGTATACATCAGTGTATGTGATTTTGCTTGTGTTTTCAAAAGAAATATGAAAGAAAAAGTAACAAGCTAGTAAAAGTGATTGTTACTGGAGGAAAGGTGTGCAGGGTCAGGCATAGAAAGTAGATGTCTCTTATTTTATTCAAATAAGGTACCTTATTTTGACTTTGGAACCATATAAATGTTTTACATAATTTAAAACAATTAAAGAGAGAATAGTATTCACTAACAACTGAAAGCAGATTGAAAAAAACGAAACAAGCCTAGTGATATATTCAGGTTGGTGTTAATCTCTCAAAGAAAATGATTACTTGAAGTGACTTTAAGACCATCTTTGGACCGTATATTCATAGTGGAAAATATTTATATTGTTATTTGAAACCATTGCAGGTATACTGTAGGAACCAACACTTTCAGTATATAAGAAAGGGGGAGAACTTAACCTATTTCCCATTTGCCCCGAGAATATTCACCAGCGGCACTTGGCAGCTGCAGCATTTATCCTGAGATAAATCGCAGATTACAGTCCTAACCATAATTACCCACAAAGTTTGCCATACATCTCTCATGCTTTTCAGAGGAATATATCAAAACAGGACTGATGCAATTGAAACAGCCCATTTGAACAGAAAATGAATGCCAAATTATCTGAAAAAAAGAAAAGGATTGCAAAGGGTACGACTATAGCCAGATTCTGTGGTGAACTTATGGCACTGAATTGGTGTGACAGGAAGAAGGTGATAGGGTCATCAACATTCCACAATGGTACTGTGATTGAAATAGACAACAGAAATGGAGAGAAAAAATTAAGAAGCTATGTGTCGTTGTGGATTATAATGAGAATATAGGAGTATATAGTGGCATTGGCTGATCAGATGCTCACTTCTTATCCGACTGAGCAAAAAAGCCTCAAGTTTTGGTATGAGAAATTCTTTTGCCACCATCGAAACATTACAGTGCTGAACTACTACATCCTGTTCAAGAAGAATAATCCTAAGCACACAATCAACCATGTAAACTTCAGACTGAAATTGATTGAAAGAATACTGGAAAAGCATCACAAGCCAGGGCACCAATGCCTTCGAAGTCATCCGTGCTCTGGTGATGTCACACCTCTTCGCCTGTCTAGAAGACATTATTTCCCCAAGAGCACACCACCAGCATCAAGGAAACAGAATCCAACCTGTTGCTGCAAAGTTTGCTGCTCCCACGATGACAAGGGTGACAAGATCAAGAGAGAAATGGGATATTTTTGTGTAGAATGTGATATTCCACTTTGTGGTCCATGCTTTGAAATTTACCACATGAAAAAAAAATGATTACATAGTGATCATCATATACATTTCTGTTACATTAGGGTTAGAGACAAGTTCTATTTAGAAATAACTCCAAGGACAGTTTTTATATTTTATTTTCACATTGAAAACCAGTCAGATTTGCTTCAGCCTCAAAGAGTGTGTTTATATAAAATTAAATTAATGCTGGCAGCAAGCTGCACTTTTTCTTTCTAAATGGGAAATGGATTATTAAAGAATTCAAGTAGTGACTGTATTTAACATTCAACTTGAATAGGAAATATCCATGTGAACTTATTTTTTTTTCTCTTTAAAAAGACATTTTCCAGTTCTGTACTTTGAAAAGGACCAGAAGTAAAGGCAACTCACTCGTAAGGAGTAATTGTAGCACTAAAACTGGGATTCCCCAAATACCTTTCCCACTAAAAGGAACCTCCTGCTCAGATAAGTAGCTGATTCCAGGTCAAAGGCAGGAAACGTGCAAGATGGGACATCTTGTCATGCCAGAAAGCAAGGAAGGTAAGACAGACCAGTGGGGTGGAGTCAGAAGGACACATAGGAATCAACAATGGCATAGTTAGAGCATCAAAAAGAATAAGGACTGCATGAAATCAAACCAGTTACAAATAACTTGTGGATTCGTCAGAATCCATGATACTTCAAATAAGAAAAACCCACAAAATCAATTGATCACCTTTGCAAGTTGCTAGAATACCACTTCATTACTCTGAAAAATAAAGAGAATGAATCCAGCTTTGATCCTGATTTTCTAAGACAAATTATATTTTATGACAATCAGATAATTGGTAAAAGTTGTTAATCATGGAGAAATCACAGCTAATAAATGCAAAAGGATCGAGGAATTAGAAAATCAGTGTCGTATAATTCCTAATGAGATAATGGAGAAAGGTCGAGATCCTCAATGGTTGCTAAATCCATCAAGTATCAGGTTGATGGGAAAATCCTTCATTGATGAGGCTGCCTTGCATGGAGAAAATAGAGAAATGAAGCAGTTTGAGACCCTTTATCATGGTGAGAGATATCAGTTGGAGAATTTGCAGCAGAAACCAGTGACTCTTGCTCCTCGCGTCCCAGAGGCTACCCACAGAGGGGCCCTTCCTTCCCACATGACAAAGGGGTGGGGCCCAGCGCAACCCAGTCCTGTCTTTTCCCACAGAATCGTCCATTTCCTCGCCCTTTGGGAAAATGTGGCTAATCTAGTGGTCTAAAGTGCATGACCACGTCTTTCAGTATAGAAAGTGTCAGAAGTTATAGTTTGTTCTTGTTAATTTTGAAAAAATGAAACAAATTTACTTGTACTTAATATATGGGCTGATAGTAATCATTATCTAATTGATATATAAGTATGCATGTGTATTGCGAGTATGCTTAGATTGTCTTCACTGATGGGTGAAAAGTTTGAAGACCACGGAAACTGTTGTGGAATCAAGTCATCTTCAAGTACAGCGGTCTGTCTTTGAGATTTAGCAGTGTTCTGGCATTTGTGGAGTGCGGAGAGGGCACCAATGGTGAAG